TTATGAAAATTGAGATGGCTAGTAACCAACTCTCATTGGACGCTCAACTCAAGTCAGTGGTTGAAAGGCAAGAAGAAACTGGTTTTGATCTTAAGGTAATCATGGAATTGTTGAAGAAATCTTAGGTTTAGGATGTAGAACCCTTTTCTGTGTTTCTTTTGGTTGTGAATCTTTATGTTTATGGAGTTTATAATCTTTACATTGTTATATGTTATCATGTTTGTGGATCTATATTTGCTTGTGAATTTATCATAATTCTGGTTGTTTATATGTTCATTGTTTTAGTTGTGTGTTATACTTTTTTTTTACAATTTAAAGTAAAATGAAACTTGCTTTTACTGGCTAATCTAAGCAAATAAACTAAATTAAGAGAAACTTCATTGGAATATTGAAAATTACATTAGAGATGATCAAACTGTACAATAAATTAGCCTATTTATAGTCTTCTTTGCTGCTTCATTCATCTTTCTCTGTGTTACAAACATATACCTTCCAGTATTATTTTGCTTTCTCATCTTCAAAAGAAGGATCTTCAGAAGCAGTTTTGTGCTCTTTTGATCCTGAAATTTATGCTCTATAGGTAGCCAATCTGGTTTGAATGCCTTTCTCTTTTTTGAGTTTCTGGTTCTCTCTTCCTCCATCTGCTTGAAGTTGTGCAGAACATTTCTTGGTTGCCAAACGTCTTTCTCTTGCTGCTTCAACTATCTTAAATAATTCAAACTCTCTTGCAATATCGTGTCTCTCACTCTTGTGAAGCATACGATTATGGGATTTTCTCTTCATAACTATCTTGTGGTTGAAGAACTGGATGCACTTTTGAGGATTCCTTGTTGATATGCTTTTATAGAGTGTTTTAAGTATTCATACAAGTACATATGTGAACCAACTGTTAATATTCTTTGACCATCTTAGGACACTGCACTTAATTGACAATGACTGCTATAAACTGTATAAAATATTTTTGACCATCTTGGGATTCTGCACTTTTGAATTTCAGTTACTTTAAGTGTTCTTTTGTTTTATCTATTACTTTAAGTGGTCTCTTATTTTATCTATTTGACATTTTTGATGTGACAATAAGGGAAGAAATATAGAATTATTTAAATATGAATTTATACCATTCCGACTCAATACTGCCAATGAAAATTATATGATGATTAATATTGTTCATTTAGTTTGTCTGTTATTATGGTTATCTTTCCTGGGTAATTAATTTTAAATCTTCTTGCATATAGAACTAAGGGGAGCTTACAAACCTCAACCTTAACCCATTAGACTCAGAAGGAGCTTACAAACCTCGTATTTTGATGTTGCTAAAGAAAGTTAAAATTATAATTTTCTTGAAAATGGTACTTAAGGTGGTTCCTTAGAACTCAACTTTGGACTATTAGACTCAAGGGGAGCTTACGAACCTCATACCCTGATGTTGCTAGGAAAACTAAATATATTTTAAGATTTCTTAGAAGTAGAACTCAGGAGGAGCTTACAAACTCAACCTTTGATTTATCAAACTCATAGAGAGCTTACAAACCTCACACTTTGTTGTTGTCTAAGAAAAATTAAAATAGCCCAAACATTGTTCTTTAAATACTTATGTTTGTCATCATCAAAAAAGGGGATACTGTTAGAACAAGATTTGTTCATGACATATATTCCTTGGGTTTTGATGATAACAAGGTATTAAAAGAACAATGATGTTATCTAATGTGTGTTCAAGTATGCAGGTCATTATACTTAAAGATATATTCAAAATGTGATATGAAAGCACACTTGAGAGAAGCTGAGTTACGTGCTTCTGATGATACAAAATCTGAAGAAAACTTGCTAAGTGATGTCTGGCCTAGATTCTGAAGCTGAATGCCTTAGCATAAGAAGAAGCAACATATTATCTCTACACTTGGTGACTGTATTTGCTTCTTGTGATCATTCATAAGTAGTAGCAAAGTTGAAGTTATCCGTATTGCAGAAAGTAAGTTGTAACGTCAAATCAGTTAGTCAGTTAGAGTCTAAGTTCACAAGGCTCAAGAAGAGTTGACATGCTTTATGGATAACCACTCTCAAGGAATATATAGTACACGATCTCTTTGAAGATGCAATGGTTAAACATGTTACACAATGGATCAAGATCCTTTGGTGTATCTATCTTCAATGGCTCTTGTATTATGGAGAAAATAAAGACATTTGATTAAGTTATCTCTTCCAACGGTTAGTCTTCTAGAAACTGCTATATAAGTACCTGAAGGTTTATTTTGAATCTTTAACAAGAAATAAGAAAGAGAAGAAATTCTAAAGAAGATAGAGGTGTTTATAGCCTCTATTTGAATGAAGAAATAACAAGATCAACAATGAGCAACACTACTGAATGTGCAGAATATCCTGTTATTTGTTGTAAATTGTAAATAGCCTTAAGGTTTCCTAAAATATTGAATATCCTTGAAATCTTAAGTGGTTAAGGTCTTTGTTAAGGTGATTACCCTGTATCTCTAATTCTGTATCAAACACACTTTGCTCTCTAGTCTACTGTACATGTTGTTCAGTAGTTTAAATCAAAGTCTCTTAGTTTGTGCTTGAGCATCAAAGTCTCCGGTTGAAAAGGTTGAGCCAAGTAAGTTTCTTGCTACGTAGCATTGGAAATCTTGATATGCGTTGATTAAGCAGAGAAGCCTTAGACAGTGTGTCTGACCAGAAGTCTTGAACCATGTGGGTTTAAGCAGGGTAAGTATTGGATTGAGAATCTGAGCAAAGAACCCTTGGACAGTGCGTCTGAGAAGAAGTCTTGAACCAAATGGGTTTAAGTAAGGGAAGTATTAGGATTTGAGGATCTAAGCAAAGAAGTATTGATCAAGTGCTAATTGAGCTAGGAAGTCTTAGACTTAGACTGTAGGTCTGAGCTATAAAAGTCTTATGCTTAAGTGCATAAACAATTGTAATCATGAGTTGATTATAGTGAAAAAAATTTATGAGACAAGGAGACTAGAGTAATCTCGGTTGGAGAGGAACTAGGATAAATCTGATGTGTTCATGATTTTGTTTACTCTACTTCTGATATATTTTTCGCTGCATTTATGATCAGATTCTGAATGAGTGTTTAGAATTTGAATTCCGTTCAGAAGCATAAATATTTTAATAAACACAATTTAACATCCATTCTTGTGTATTTTCTCACCTCCAATAAAAAGTATTATGGATAGGCGGTAACAAAATATTACATCTCTAATACTCTATAAGTAAAATATTTTAACTTTCTCTCACTCATTAGTAGTGGACCTAACACTTTAAACAAGTCACACACAAAATAAACCTCTATTTAACCCTATTTTTGATTTTCTTGTTCATTTTCTATCTTTGCTCTGTCTCTTCAACCTACACTCATTCTTTCTTGTCCAAAACCCTAGCCACCATTATTACCATACCTACACAAACCAAACACCCACACCTCAATTCATCAATATCTTGTCACAAACCGTCACATAAACTTCATAGAACTCATTACTAACCTCAATTTCTATAAAACCTCAAAACCCCAAATACCCCCCACAAAAACCACACACTTTGCTCATTATCCAACAATGGCTTCAAAGAGAAGACATGGAAAAGAGTCAGAATCATCCAGAGTTGTAACAAAGCAAAGAAGAACGACTAACAAAGCGAAAAAGAAGAACCCTCACAGCACCATCTTAAAATATTCATAAAAAATGAGTGCTACAACATTCTTGCTCGTCGCAAAATTGTACCCTCTGGCTCTGGGTATATCGATGAACTCACTTTAGAAAATCTAAGCAAAGAACACAACACTACTTTAGATCTCAAATAGCTGCCAACAATATAAACTCAATCACATCTGATACCAACAACCCACTCTCCCATTCAAAACAATAATAACAATCCTACAAATAATAAATTAATATTGAATAAAGTTTAAAATTGATAAATAGTAACAATTTTAATGCTATTTAAATTTAATTAGCATAGTTATTTACATGATTATACTATAACTATAAATAATTTCTTATAATTAATATTTATATTTGATTTAACTTCCTAACATTAAGACTCAAATTTTCATAACAAAGGATAAAAATGATAAATAAACGGAATAACAGTGTAAAAACTCTAACCAAATTATTCACATTATCTTAGAGTATGATCACTAAAGGGGCGACAGTACCGACAGTGTCAGATTAAGTGAGTTGTATTTCATATGGTGTGTTTAATTTTGTCCTAGTTAACACTACAAGCATTATAGTAAAGGAATTCAAGAAGGTATATAGGGCCAAAAATTGGGATATAGTAGTTGGAGGTTTGATCACTACCTTGGCCGAATCTTTAGAACATAAATATCGCATTGTTTATACTGTTTCTTCACAACTTTTTAAATGTCTGTGTCTGAAACATTTGGATATTTAATGTTCATGAACGTTCTCCTATTTACAACGCTTGCATACTAAGTCACGCCTCTTATCATTTAATGAATGCATTTACATTTATTTTTTATTTAAAAATAATGCAACATAATTAATTGCAACGATAACAAAAATTAACGGGTAATAAATTTCAGTATTAGTATAATAATAAATTAAAAATTCAACCGTAATAAATTTCAATTTCAAATGGTAATATTTAATTATTATTATTAGTATAAATAGATTACTCATTCATCCAATATTTCACTCACATCTACTCTAAATTTGACCAATTTATTTTATCTCATTTTAGTTTTTATCTAAATATTTCTTTTCACAATGAATCCCAATCAAAATAACACTTGATCCAATTTTATGCAAAATGATGGAAGTCCTCATAGTATTCCAAATCACCAAAACAACTCATATTTTGGAAATGCACCTCTTATTCCAAATCCAAACCTTAAACCAAATTTTCAACACTATTTTTTTATCCGAAATCCACAAAATGACCCTCGCTTTGGAAATTACTTGTATCATACACCACCTTACCTATATCAATATCAATAATTTCAATCTTAATCAATTAACCTCAATATGTCTCATGTGGTTCAAATAGGTAGTAGTGATGTGAAATCAAATGATCAAGAACATGAAACACTACAATTTTGCACTCAAGTTAGTATAGAAAATATTAACCATGTTGAAGAAGTTGCATCTGCACCAGTTGTGAATATGTCTAAACAAAGGTTCCAACAAAAAGAGGATGAAATTCTTATTCAGTCATGGCTCAACGTTTCAAAGGATTCAATTGTTGGGGTTGATAAAAAAGGAGATAGTTTTTGGAAGAGAATTGGAGAAGCTTTTACCAAGCATCGTGACATTAATTATAAAGAGAGGAAATCGATGGCACTAAAAGGGAGATGACATAAAATAAATCCATCCGTTCAAAAGTTTGTTGGATGCTACAAACAAGCTGTATCTACACTGAAAAGCGGGAGCTCTGAGAACAATATCTTGCAAGCTGCGTATAAAATTTATTTCCAAGATGAAGGTGAAAAGTTTACATTTGAGGCTGCATGGAGATTATTGAAAGATGAACCTAAATGGATCGCAAGTTCATCAGAAGCTTCTGCAAAAAGAACAAAGAATTCAATTTCAGGAGCATATTCCTCATCTTCAAATCCACTAACACCAACGAGCAACGAATATAATCCATCATCACCTACTATGTCACGTCGTCCAATTGGTCAAAAGGCGGCCAAAAGGAAGGAGAAAGAAAAGCTTGTGGAAATGTCTTCTACTCGCAATGTTAAATATGATTCTTTGAAAGATGACTTCAAAAAAAAATTGATTTGATGTCAATGTTTGCACGAGACTATGCACGTATTGAGGATGAAAAAGTCGAGATAGAGAGAAAAAAGATTGATGCAAAGATTAAGAAGTCTGAGAATGGAGAGGAAAGATTGAAGATGAATGATCTGCAGACACTCTCAAAAGATACATCAAATATGGACACAAGACAACTAAAAGCACATGAAATGTTGTGTGACATGATTAGAGAAAAATATGGATTTAATTAATATGATTATGTATTTTGGATTTAATTGATATGAACTTAATTAGTATGATTATGTATTTTGGATTTAATTGAGATGAACTTAATTAATATGATTATGTATTTTGGATTTAATTAATATGAACTTAATTATTATGATTATGTATTTTGGATTTAATTGATATGAACTTAATTGGATTTAATTCAAACTAGCCGTTATTCAAAGTCAAACTAGCTGTTATTCAAAATAGTCTTATAAATAGTATTAACATGCACATTAAGCTTCATAGTTCTTCTTTTCATTATCTACCTCTTTCATTCTCCATAATTTATTATCATCTTCTACTCAATATCAAACTTTTTTTTACGTGGATCCTTTCAATCCTTCCCACATTGCAAAAATGTTCATGGATTATACGAATGACGATATGGATGAAGAACTTGTGAGAATATTTATGAAAGAAGCCTCGAGCTCTAAAAGGCCCAGACGTCAAAGAAGGAATATAGAGAGGAATCGTGAAGAGGGACATGATCGATTGTTCAATGATTATTTTTCTAAAACTCCGGTATACACAAATGAACAATTTTCTCGAAGGTACCGAATGCAGAAACATGTGTTCCTTCGTATCGTTGAAGCTCTAGGTCAACACGATGAGTATTTTTGAATGATGGTTGACGCAACTGGTAGGTCAAGTCTTTCACCATTACAAAAATGCACTGCTGTTATCCGTATGTTGGCATATGGAACATCTGCGGATAGCGTGGATGACTATTTAAGAATTGGTGAAACCACAACACTAAGATGTGTTGACAAGTTTACAAAAGAAGTAATCAACATCTTTGGGGCACAATATTTACAAAGGCCAAATGCTGAAGACATTGAACGCTTAATGCGAATGGGGGAGGCACGAGGATTTCCTGGTATGTTAGGAAGCATTGATTGTATGCATTGGGAATGAAAAAATTGTCCAGTTGCATTAAAAAGGATGTATATTCAAGGCGATCATGGGAAACCAACTGTTATGCTTGAAGTAGTGGCTTCACAAGACTTATGGATTTGGCATGCATTCTTTGGGGGTAGCGGGTTCAAACAACGATATTAATGTGTTGAACCAATCCAATGTATTTAGCGATGTTCTGCTAGGACGAACTCCCGAGGTTCATTATACAATCAATCATACTGAATACAATAAGGGCTATTATCTATCAGATGGTATTTATCCTGAATGGGCAACATTTGTGAAAAGTATCTCGATGCCACAAGGGGATAAGAGAAAATTGTTTACCCAACATCAAGAAGGTGCAAGAAAGGATATTGAACAAGCATTCGGAGTTCTCCAATCATGATTTGCAATCATACGTAACCCAACGCGATCTTGGCACTTAAACACACTCTAGCGCATAATGAATACATACATCATATTACACAACATGATTATTGAAGATGAACGTGTCACATATGGTGGAAATTTTGATTTTTCTTATGATCATTTTGGTACTTACGTAACAATATTGCCGAATGATTCTAATATTGATTTTCAAGAGTTCCTACGCAGAAGACTTGATGTTCGTAAGAAACAAGTTCATCGACACCTTTAACAAGATTTGATGGAGCATATATGACAACGTTATGGGCATGAGAATAACAACAATTAAAAATTATTTTAAATATATCGCTTTCTTGTATTTTGTGCTAGTATTTATTTTAATGTTTATGTTTTTTAATGTATGTTTTTAATAAATTATTTGTGTCATGTATTGTGTTTTTTTAATATATATATATATATATATATATATATATATATATATATATATATATATATATATATATATATATATATATATATATATATATATATATATATATATATATATTAATTTGATTTATTTTAAATGTATAATTTTTTTTAATGTTTTTGATATATTTGAATTAAAATATTTTAATTATATTTTTATATAATATATATGTGGGTATGTTTGAGATTTGGTGGGATCCATTTTAGAATTTTTGATAAGTTGTTAGGATATTTGAAAAATGTAGTAGAGTTGTTTAGAAAATGAAAAGGTGTAATATAATATAAAAACTTGAGTGGGTCCTATTTAAAGAACTCAAATGGGAATGATGGATGTGGATACTCTTAGGGTATGATTGTAACAGCCCAATTTCGGTTTAACTAATTAATTTAGTTATCGGAATTATTTTAATTATGGGATAGTGTGATAATATGTTAAGTCTACATATTATGCTATTTTATCATTTGTAGAGTTTTGGAAAGTTTAGTGGGAAATATTTTGGACAGTCTCAATTATTGGTTAAGTGGATGATTTATGGAAATAGATTGGAATAATAGGTATATTGGAGGAAATAGAATGGAAAGAAATATAAAGAATAGAAATAGAAAGAAAAGATATAAGAGAAAAGGAGGAAAGAAAAAGAGAAATAGGAAAGAAAAGAAAGGGAAAAAAAAAGAAGGAAAAATGAAGAGAAAGGAGAAGAAGAAGAGGAAAAGAGTGGAATCATCAAGAGCGACTCAAAGCTTCGATTAATCCAAGGTAAGGGTGTGAAATCTTACTATCTTAATCATTGTGTATGATTGTGTATGTGTGTGGATGAGTTTGGTTGTTTTCCAACCTTGTTTCTATTTAGGTCGAAATGATAGAAATCGATAGAAGCCGATGTTCGGACGGTTAGAATCGAGAATAACTTTCGTAGCTTAGTCGGGATATGTTAGACTAAGGCTACTGGAGCAACTTTGGATTTAATCGGGCGATTTTGGTGGGTTTGGAAGTGCTAGAGCAGAGCTGAATGTTGTTGTTCGCAGGCGACTCGCTAGCAGCTCGCTAGGCGAGCATGCAACGAACGACTCGCTAGCAGCTCGTTAGGCGAGTGCGTAGCGAATGGTCCCAGACTTGGGACAGTGGTGTTTTGGTCTCCTTCGCTGGCAGCGAATGGAGTAGCGAATGACTCGCTGGGGGGGTTCGCTGTGGCGAACGAGGTAGCGAACGAAGTCTGTAGCTTCTGTTCTTGCTCGCTAGCAGTTCGCTAGGCGAGATGGTGACGAACGTTCGCTAGCAGCTCGCTAGGCGAGCGTGTAGTGAACGTAGCAGGATGAATTTTCCCTGTTGTGTGGTGCTGTCGTGGCTTGGGGTTTCGGTTGCGATCGACCCTCCTTTGATTTAATAGCTTATCTGCTGGTTGTGATGTGCTGTGGGTAGCCGTAAGGCGTGAATCCTAGTGTATGAATATGATTTTGAATCGTGGCATTTGGGAAAATTATGCATTATTTAGAATTGAATAAAATGCATGGCAATGGTGATGAATGAAGAATATAATACATAATGTGAGTGCATGATAATAGTACGTGTTGATGTGTGAAGAATGCATGATAATATATTTGCGAATATGTATGCATTTGTGTTATATTTGATCCCGTGTAGGATCTGCAGAACCTCGCTTGATGCGATGGTTATATTTGATCCCGTGCAGGATCTGCAGAACCTCGCTTGATGCGATGGTTATATTTGATCCCGTGTAGGATCTGCAGAACCTCGTGTGCCCATGTGGGGTGTGAGCGATGGTTATATTTGATCCCTTGGAGGATTTGCAGAACCTCGCTTGATGCGACAGTTATATAGTGATTCCTAGGAAGATCTGATGAGTTATAGTGTAACCGTATAAGTGCGAGAGGAGTGAATTCTAAGAGAATCTGACGGACGAATGAGTCGGTACCGTGGTTGTAGCTGTATAGGGTCGAGGTGTCGGCCTCTATGAGTGCATTATCGTCTTCATGTGATGAATAAGAAATAATGCTTGAGAATGTATATATATATATATATATATATATATATATATATATATATATATATATATATATATATATATATATGTATATATATATATATATATATATATATATATATATATATATATATATATATATATATATATATATATATATATATATATATATATATATATATATATATATATATATATATATATATATATATAAATATTTACTGCGTCTGGTAAATATGATAATGAGGTCGATGTATATGTAGAGAGATTCTACTCACTAGGGTAGAATCGGCGATGCGTTGTTCCTAGTGGGGTAGTTACCGGGGTAGAATGGCCGAGACGTTGTTCCCGGTAGAGCATGAGCGACGTACCCATAGTCCGGAAAGAGGATTGAGGGTAGTGAATGAGTCTTATATGGATCGTATGGTATGATCGCGATTGTCATATGTAAATATGCCTATGTGCAGGAATTGATGAGATGCGTTAGCCAATAAATAAATGTGAAAGATATTGACCGATGAATAGACGGTTAAGTGTGAGCGATTATGTCTATGTGTATTTGATGCGGTG